TTCTAAAAATAGAAAAATTGTCCCATATCATAGGTGCGTGCGGATCCCAAGACTTACGGTCTCCGTCCCCGATTATGGCTCCTGCTCCCATATGAGAATATCTGAGATACTGGTTGGAAGGTTAGAATGAATAAAACTATAGTTGTCCGACGTTTCGATGTTGCTAACATCATTATTTAACATTATTAAATTCTCAACTTCGGATAATGCAATTCTAGCTTTCTGATTGGTTCACTGGATCTCGGTTACCAGCCATTATACCTGCGTTTGACCTTATATGGAAATGAATGTGGTAAATATCGCTCGGCAAAAAACTTTTTCGCGGGGAGCCAAGTTTCGTCGACAGAAAAATGGATGAAAAAAAAGCTAAGCTATCTACGGAAGAAACACAGGAAATTATGGACAATGCCGTCCCAGTAACAACAAAAAAGCCACAAAGTTCGAGATTAGGTTATTTGACGGTACGTATACGTTAAGTTTCCCTTAAAAGTTGCAAAATTAAAATATGACCGTCGAGATTTAACGCAGTCATGAAGATTATGTAACAAAAACAATGTTTACCTTAACAGATTGGCTTTATAGTCCTGGTGGCATCAAATTTTCCAAACCAATATAAATGTCAAAAGAAGAACTGAATGTTTGTTTGAATTGTTTTTATACGTCTGCGAGGAAGAAAGATGGCACGTTTTACAAAAGTTCATCCACGAAATCCATAAGAGCCGCCATTGATCACTTCCATCGCACGCCGCCGAACAACAAACCGTTTTCCACTATCTCTGACCAGGCAAATAAATTATTAGAGCATTTGTAAAAGGCCTCAGGAAAACAGGCATCATTGCCGGCGTAGTCCATAAGAGACCAATTTCCAATTAGCAGATGAGGAAACTGTTCGACTTAAGTGAGCTCGGATCGGTCGAGAGTAAAAATCCCGCACAGCTACAGAGGACGACCTCGTCGGCCAAAAAAGAGACCGAGATAAAACTAGGACGAGAGAATCAACGACAGCAAGCGTCAACAATTATGTCGTCGCGGAAAACACCTTGAGGAGTTGAGTGTTTTGAGCTGAACCGTAGTAAGCCTGGTGCTTTAATTACCAGCCACGAAAAACCATCAGGATGGCCTCGGAGATTCTGAAGATGAATCTGACGCTCAGATAGTTTCTGTCCCTGACGCTGAATCTGGCCAACAATGAGCTCCACACATACAGCTCGAAATGCCAAGGCTTTCAAAGCAAGGGAATCCTGAAAGAGTCCTTGTCGAGAATAATTTTGGCACAACGTCTGTGTCACATGGCGATCAAAGTTTGCCGCAGCATTATTACAACGGCAATGCGCAAGTGCAGAATTATTCGGCTCTTCTCCATGACTCGAACTTGAACGCTTTTCAAACTTTCCGACCGGGGTTATATCTCCTTCATTTGATAGACGTTCCTTGAATTCTAATTGATTGTAATTTCATTCAGCAAATTCGTTTGCTTCGCTTTCAAATTTTTCGTTCAACTAATTTTACAAACGGCGCGCATGTCACGTGATTTCCCACGTTGTTGTTTTTGCCACATCAACTTCCGGTCGCTTAGTAAAATTAAAATTCAATAAAATTAAGCCATAATTTCCAAGTATACAAACGCACCGAATTTAATAAAACATTTATTCCATTCGGGCTTGTTGGATATGAGAATGGTTATAGCCAACGAGGACCGTAGGCTATTTACCATCTCATATCCAACGCGCGCTCATGGAATAATTGTTCATTATTTTACATTTTTACCTTGATAATGATGTTAGCAACATCGAAACGTCGGACAACTATAGTTTTATCATTTCTATTGACGTTCTTTGGGCGTGCCCCGAGTTTTGTTTGACTCCTAAAAGGTACAATTTACAACGGAAATGACAGCGTTTTTTATTACTTCTCCGAGCGTACCCTTACATGTAAAGTACTTTGACGGCTAAAAGCGCAATAACCATTTTCTCGTATTAACTATTATATGTACCCGGGAAAGACTCACATCTTTGGTCGGCGACTTTCCTTGCAACTGTCGGACTCTAATTTTCTTGTGGCCCTTCATTTCTTAATCCTACGAATCATGTCATCGTCATTTCTTTTTATCGATATCTCTCGGTGAATATATCTTTCTTGTCATGCATGCGCAATGGCCGTCTTTAAATGTCCTTTTCACCTCTTCCGATGTGTCTGTTTTTTCATTTTGCAGTGAAGTTAAGGTGTGGCCTCTAACCATCAAAAACACACAGCGACTGCTCTGTGATTTCCCAAAATTATTGCTCTCGTCTCTTGCTAATTTCAGCTCTTTAATTTCCTCTGAAAACTCTGGCTTCAACTGAGTTTCTAAATCGCTTCCAATTTACTTCTCGAAAACACGGCGACAATTCATCTACCAAAAGAATCAATTAGTCGGTATCTCATTCTAGTCGGTCGATGCATCCAGCACATGTTTTGATTTCGAAAAAGCCTTTTATATTTGCGGTCCCAGGCAATTCTCAAAAGATTAGGGAATTCGTAACAACAGAAATTTGAGTCGTCACCAAACCCCGACCAACGAACCTTACAAGAAAAATTCCCTCACCAGAATCAAGTTAGGCTACCCAGCCATCATCGAAAAGAACGTTGTTTCCGAGGGAACACAGGAAACGTCATGTAGGATAAACCGCCAGATGCTTCCAAATTACAAAAAAATACGCATTAGAAATGTTAGCTTGCGTAGCAGGCGTAAAACGGTGGAGAGGGGGAGGGAGTAGGGATGGAAGGGGGGTGTTCTCCTGATCCTTCGATCCCCCTTTACACCTATTTAATTTAATTGTGAAACTCAATATATAGGCTCTGTTATTTTGCACGAAAAATTAAAAACCTTCAGGTTATTGCTGCTTTTTGTTTTGCAAAGGACGGTGACTAAACTAATTCTTGCCTTTTTATTTTAGCCTCAGGTCATGAACGAAAGAGAGCTAAGAGGAAAGGAAACAAGAAAAAAGCTATGGCTAGCTAGAGTTCAGAGATTAGTTGAAAGCACTTAAGGGACATAAAGGGACGAAATGTAGAAGATAAGAGAACATTAAGTATTAGCAGGTCCATCTTAGACACTGACCCCAATAACTTCTCCTTATTACATGCACTCCTGAAATCGATTGTTTGTATTTAGTGCTTAGACCCTACCCACCATTTCAGTATATCCCTCTAACAAGCACAGAAATCCAGTATCAAGTATTCTCGGACTAAAATTAATCAAACATCACGAAAGCGACAAGCTGTAAACCTCTGTGCAGTATTGGAAACTAAACTTTGACAACACTCGCTATTTGGGCGAGTGACCCTTAACATGCACTCTCCCGGTGTAATTTTCACTCGGCCGGAAAGATGCATGTCTCCCTTCCCCCTAAAAAATCCCCGCAATGATTCAAAAATCATACGTTTGAGTCTCGTAATCGCGGACGACCATGCAGCTTGTCATTTCGTGTTGCACTTTCCTGTCTTGGTTCATTTACGAGAAACATCCTTAGGATCGCAGGGCCTTAGCTAGTAACAGGGAAACTGTGGCACTTTTTGAGTCTTTTTTTTCGTTTTCGTGGTTAATAGTTATCATAAACACCCTGAATTACTTTGGAAGAGAATTTAAACATGGATATTGTCTCAGTCATTTTTTTTCAGGGGCATTGCCTCAGTCATAATTTTTTCAGGGACATTGTCTTAGTCCAATTTTTTCTGGCTATGGCCACGTATCACAGACGACTTTAACGTCGTTTTTATTATCAACTTCTGACACTCCGTAGAAATATTTCGCATTTCCGTAGTTTTAATGGAAAAAACAGTTTAGCGAACAGCTGGCACTACCGGATTCGCATATATCCCTAGAATGGAGACATTGGAGTAAACAAGGCACACGAATACTGACGTTTTTCATTCAATGAAAAATCATACCAAGATAACTACAAAGGAGGCACTTTAATTTTCAAAACAGTTCATATTGATAAATCTTCGTGAGATTCATTTCTTAGCAAACAAACCTCCTTGTTCCTCTCGTGCGCCATCTTCAGTTCTCATGCGCACATTATCATAGAGACCAGCTGGGCCTGGGTTGTTCAAAGCCCGATTAACCTAACTCAGGATTAGCGAGAAGTTTGATTTCAGTTTTGTTACTTTTCGGTATGTTTTCATTTTATGTTGTTTGTCCTTCTGGTTTGAGTTTGAATAATCTCATATTTGATTTGTTCAACGTATGAGATGTTCGCCTAGGCATTATAGTTTGTTGGTAGGTCAGTACCGATATAGTTTTGACAGTGCTTACGTAGCTTGATTTCATAGCCTGGTCATACATGTCTCATTTGTTATCTCGCGAGAACTAGTATGAACTTTGTTAATTTCACCAGCTTTCACGCCATAGAATTCGTGGACTGGATGCTCGACATCTTTGTATGTAAGATGGGCGAATAAGGCGTAGCTCCTTCTAAAGCGTTCTTCGCAAACACGGCAATGTTGTTCACGAAGAGCGAGCACACGATAATCAAGCTGCTGCAATTCTCATCCACAGTTTCCGCGCTCTCCGCCATGAATGCCTGGTACTATGATCCCCTACTTGCGACCAAGACAAAACGGCTTGTATTTTTAGACTCGAGCTGGAGTGAAAAGGCGTAATAGATAAAAAGGTAAAAATACATAATACGATATAATTAACGTGTAAACTAGAAGATGGCTGAAAATGAAGAGGGCAATTAAACAAAGTTAAAAAGGCATCTATTTCCAATTGTTCTTTTGAAAACGCAGTCCTATCACGCAGTAGAACAAAGTTGTGGCCTCTCTACTAGTTGAATAAGGTACTTTGAATTACAGGTGAAAACCCATATTACAATACCATATATACATAGTAAGAAAGTTAAAACACGTTTTAAAACACATTGTACCAATATATAACTATACTACTAGTTACGTGCATTCTTTTATCTTTAGGACAACCTGGTCTTGTGTGTCTATCATTTCTGAACTCTTCATTCTCCTTCTATCATCTCTACCGTTCAGGGGTGATTTTACTCAGTTCTCTGACTTCCGCAAGCCGGCTAAAAACCTTAATTCGACTGTGCAACTTGAAATCAGGCTAAAGAGAGTAATACAAGACACTGTTACCCATTATGACAAGCAAATTAAGTAGAAAAAGAAATTCTTTTCAATGCAATTAAGGAAATCGTGTTGGTATTTGATAATTGATAAAACACGACCACCACAACAGTGCTAAATCATAGAACTGATTTAAAAACTTAAGTCAGCCNCAGGCAAGTCATTTACCAACTACATCATTAAAAGAGCAAACTAATAAGACTTGACCAAGCCAAGCAAAATTTGAGAGCTACATGTCCCAAGGGTAAGATGGAATTCACAGTTTTTTTTTTTTAGCCCTGGGATTATTAGGAGTAAGTTCAAGTGTAATTTTTTTTTTTTTTTTTTTTTGCGTGTTTTTATTTTTTCCTTTTCGGCTGCCCCAAAAGGGAAAGAACGTCTGATCCCAGCTTAATTTTTTAAATATCTCTAAAACATGTACATACCAGAGTATTATTTAATGTGGAAATTTGAGAGAACAAGAAATTCTCCGGGGACACGAGCTGCAGTCGTGTTTCTGCAGTTTACTCAAGTTCTCTCTAACTTTCACTCTTGTGGGCTACGTAAGGAGTTTCTCTTACATTTTAATCTCATTACTGTATCACTAAATGATCAAAGTTCTTTTATGTGGGTTTGTGTGGGATTGCATTTTGGCTTGGTTAGATCTGAATTAAAATTGCAATGTTAGTCTAGAACTGCCCCGGTGGATTGAAAACTAATCTGATACAGGCTTAAAAGTGGTAGGAAAACACTAGACTTTCCACAGACTCTCTATTTTCAACACATACTAAACAAAAAGCGAGCGAAGGGAGCCTGATCGCAAAGCACAGAGTGGTGGGGCGGGGAGGCCAACAAAGTTAGCCAAACTAACAATTTTTTCTCGGTCTCCACGCCCTGCTCCGTCAAGTCTCCAGTTTTGCACTGGCGTCAGTTTTTTTCGCGATTCTATCCACGCCTTCAAGGATCGAAGAAAAGTAAGAGAAAATAGAGGGCCGTGAACAGTCTAGGAAATACTGGCCTTATTACTTGATTATAATAATAATAATAATAATAATAATAATAATAATAATAATAATAATAATCACTTTATTTAAGTGTCAGTGTATTTATCATTTATCATGGCCAGAGATTCCGGACATCGCAACGGCGCACGCGCGAGGTTACTTGACAATATGGCCGCCAAACACTCGAAGGAAATGTATGGCAGAAATAAAACAAAATAAAATAGAGCACGTTCTGGCTTACCGGGAACAAGTGCCGCGATCCGGTAGAGTTCTTGAAAGTTTCCTCGGCTATTCTGATAAGTTGGTTTTCATCAACAAATGGTACTGGCCCTGCTTTTCATCGATGTTTATTTTCGAAGCCTGGCCCATACAATGCTCTGCAAAACAGAGGCTTGAAATCCCATTTTTGCATCCCAAGAAGATTTTGATCCTCTGTAGAAGACAACATAATCGGGATATCCCAAGTGCCGCGATCGCTTGAAGAAAAGCACCGTATGATGTACTATTTGACCAATTTTCACCTGCGATGCTGATTTCTTCGCTCTGCTTTTTGGTTTTAAAAAGCTTGCAAAATGACGGAAAGCAAG